TCGAACTATAAAGTTAATGTTATGGAACAGTGTAATAGTTTAAAACACTGCATAACTTACAAATTGTTATAGAAATTTCTGAATTTGTTCATTGCTTTAATAGAATATCCAAAGTTGAAAATGAGCATTTTTGTGGTTTTCACATCTGTCCCTACTGTTTAGAAAACTTTATATTTCGGTTCAATCTCGTAGTTGACCAAACACTCTTGTTTGTTGCCTTTCTTTCCTTGACTTTCAATTCCTTGTTAGCCTCTTGCCATATCACCCAAATCCTTTACACTTTGCTAAAATTTTGGTCATGAATATTTACGATGTCCAGAGAAATAGACCATGACGTTCTCTTAAACTTTAATTCCATTATTTCTTTCCATGTTTCATTGCTTTGGCCCTTGCATTAAATAAATCATGGCAGAAGACATGGTAGGAAAATCAACAGAGGACAGAAAACAGATACGGAAGGATGTATCTTTCATCTGAATACCAGATTGTTATTAATGATGGGAAGAATGGGTGAGATGCGTAGCTACTTACCACTTAACTATAAAATTAGGCATTGGATTAAATGCCTTGTAGAATTCATCAATTTAATGTTTATGCTGACCTTACGAGACCGTACAGTGCGGTGGTTTTAAAATCTCACTTTGGAGCCAGATTGTCTAATTGCAAATTCTTGCTTTTCTACTTGCTAGGTATGTGACGCTAAGCAAGTCGCCTAAGTACTATATGTCTTACAGCTAAACTCAGGATGATAAGAATAGTACCTACATCGTAGATTTGTCATGAGGATTCAGTGAGTTAACGCATCACACTTAGAATGATACTGGGATCATAGTCGTCCCTAAATAAAAGTTTAGCTTATTATTACGTTCCCCATTCTTAGATGGAGAAACTGAGGCACAGAGAAGTTCAATGTAGTTGTTTAAACACCTTGCCACAGCAAACAAAATAGAGTCAGGATTTGAACTCGGGTCTGTTTGACTCCAAAGCTACCAGAGCTAAAGGTCTCCGTTGTTAGCGACAACATTCAGATACTCTAATATCATGGATGAATGCCGTGAATCAACACTGGCCCAGCCCAAAACTCAAATCCTGACCCTGGCAAGTGTTTTTAAACCCAGCTCTGAACACTCAGCGGAGGATGTACAGAATTTAGATAAGGCAAAAAGTGGCATTTGGCCTGAATTACAAAAGGCACCATTGTCTCAGCCAAAACTGTCCAAAGGCTGTTTTTTGGTTTTTGTCTATTTGGAATGTTGGGAAAAATTGGGAATTTATACTTAAATCTCATTATATATCATTTATAGTCTGTTAAAATTGTGTTTAACTATAGGTAATTCTTATCACAAAGTATAGGTTAAAGAAATCTTACATAATCTTTTATTGATGCTTTTACATATAGTTCTAATGTATAGAACTATAACAGTATAATAATATTTTTAGATGGAACGGAACCCTTCAAACTATTACAATAATGATTTTGGCCGCCAGTTTGGGCAAAACAAGAGGGCAGGCAATCACCCTAGAAAGGCTTATTACAGGGCATGTGCTACTAATTCAGTGTCCTAAATTGACCATTTTATAAAATTCATGTCCAACTCACAATATTTTCCTTAAAACTATCTTCTGTATTTTCCCTGTGTCAGTAAAAAGCAACTTTATTCTTCCGGGTGCTCAGGGCAGAAGACTCGGTACCATCCTGATTCTTGATCTTTTCTCACAGCCCACATCCGGCACATCAGCAAACCCCACTGGCTTTTCTTTCCAGATGTACTCGGAATACGACCACCTCTTGTCATCCCTTCTGCCACCGCTCTGGTCCAAGCCCCGATCATCTCTGCCTCGGATTATGCTCTCTCTGCCCTCCTCTTACTTCAGCCACTCCTTCAACAACTCCTCTGCTCGAAACCTCCAAGGGCCCTCAGGGTGACATCAGAAGCCTTCCAATGACCTTTAGACCCGACATAATCCACCATCTAATGTCGTTCTGACCTCACTTGCTGTGATGCTACTTGCTCAGTCACTCCAGCCAACTTGGCCTCTTCTCTGTTTCTGGAACCATCCGGCAGGTTCTTGTTTCTGGGGCTCTGCTCTTCCTGTTCCTTCTGCCTGGCATGCTCATCCCACCGGTAGTCAAGCAGCTTTGGGTCTGTCTTAGTCTGTCCACGCTAGACAACAGAATACAACAGACTGGGTAATCTGTAAAGAACAGAAATTTATTCCTCATGGTTCTGGAAGCTCCCATCGAGGTGCCAGCAAGTTCAGTTGTGGTGTCTGGTGAGGGCTGGCTCTCTCTGCTTCCAAGGTGGCGCCTTGTCACTGTCCTCCAGAGGGGACGAATGCTGTGTCTTCACATGGCAGAGAAGTAGAGGACAAAAAGGTCCTAGCTACGTCCCCGTAGCCCTTTTATAAGGTCACTAGTCCCATTCCTGAGGGCTCTGCCCTGGTGGCTTAATCACTTCCCAAAGGCCCCACCTCTTAACACTGCCACATTGGGGTTTAATTTCTAACGTGGGAATTTCGGAGGGACACATGCATTCAAACCATAGCATGGTCTTTTCTCAAAAGTCAATTTCTCAATGAGGCCTTCCCTCTATCCAAAATTTCAACCCAGTGTCCGCACCCCCATGCGTTTATTCCCCCTCACTACAATACTCTTTCCCCTCAGACTCAGTCTGTGTCGCTGTCTAATAGAATGTATTTTCCTCATTTACCTTGTTTAGTGTCCGTCTCCCCTACTGGGTTCCAAGCTCCATGAAGATAGGGATTTGTTCTGTCCATTTTTCTCACCGCTGTTTCCCCAATGCCCGTCACATAGTAGGCACTAAAAACATTTCTGTTCAGTGTTGCTGGATTTCATTCAGACAAAATGGAGATTATAAACATCCTACATGAAAAGCTAGCAAAAACATTTTCCACTTACCAACTTGTTAGATATTCAGTCAGTCCTAACTAACAGTTCCGAAATCAATTCTAATTACCTGACAACATGATGTCCAAACTGAGGTATTTATATTTTCTGTTTATCCCACTTTCTGGAACATTTGATAGCAGCTTTCCACCACAAAAACATTTTTAGATTAAAATTACTTTGCCCCCTGTGGTTATCTGTGGGCACTTGGGACAGATCGTTTGCTAGGGCTCAGTAAGCCAGTGCTGATTGGCCATTGGCAACTCTAACCAACTTTAAATTTCAGGAAAAATGCCCAGAGATCGCTAATCCTACAGAAGAGACAAGGTATTCTGAAGGTACAAGATACCAGGTAATTTAATTCTCTTGATATTCTTGATAGCAAATAGCTTTATATCATAATTACTTACATTTTCATGATGCTTGCCAGGCAGGTAAGTTATTGCTTTTGAAAATAAATGCAATAAAGGCAAATTGAAATTATTCCCGACTGAGCACAGCTGTGTAGTATTTAGTGCTTTGTTTTATAAAATAGAAAGTGTTACCACGCTCTAGAAATCATCAACTAAAATTGATGGTTTGGTAGCGAACTTCTCTTTGACTACCAGCGTTGTTATCAAGATCCACAGTAACTCAAAGACTCTAATATTTCTCCATCTTGTCACTTAACAAACCAGAATCAAGAGAGTCTGATCATATTCAGACTTGCAAACCTCATCTGTGCTGGTATTTCTACTGGTCGGCATTGAGTCATTTCATAAGTAACTTATATTGTCCTTATGTAGAAAATGCTGGAAGGCTAAATTATAGTTAGAATTAAGATCCTTAACATTGTATTGCTTTAGAAGAGAATAGCCTAGGATTTTAGAATATATTTAATAGTTATATGTATTTCTCCAAATAAAAGTTTTTACCTTGAAATGTTTAAAGATTGCAAGAATATTTAGATAATTTTTCCCATTGTTTTTCCTTCAAGTAATTTCAAAGAGTGGTATAATAATATTTTTATGTTGGTTGCTATATATCTCTGGGGAAATTAGTGAAATATTTAATGTTCATCAAAACCAACAGATTGGTAGTCCAAAGCTATGCTGACTCTTTTTTTAAATCTAATGGCTACTTGACTTAAGTGAGCTCACTAGACCCTGTTAGTATATTTACCAAAACATAAACATGGGCCATGGTGTTTTAAACACCATTTTGTGGAGTCCAATATAAAATATGATTTGCTTTTAAGTCAACTGCACATAGATTTTTCTGTAATATAAATGAATAGAAAGTTATTTAAGGTGGCATAAAGACTTGATTAAGATCGCTGTCTCCCTAGCTACTTTGCCTGGATACTAATCCTAGTTTTGCCCCTTGATAGCCATGAATTCTGGAGCAAGTTATTCGACCTTTCTGTGTCTGTTTCTTAATCTATAAAAGAGGCATAATACTGCTACCTAAGTCATAGAAGCTCAAATAATTGAGCACATGTAAAATTCTTAAAACAGTGCTTGGCTCATTTTAGTATTCAGTAAATGTTACTATTAATATAAGGATCGCATACATTGTTTGACTCTCCAGCCGGTGGGTGGCTACTAATTCAGACACATATAGGAGGACGTATATTGGGGGCAGCAGTCTGGAGGCAGATAAGATTCCATTCCCCACAGTGGAATCTTCTACCTGGACAGACTGAGAGTCTGTCAGGCACTGCTACATTAACTGGATGTCGTTTTGAATTATACCAATAATTAATTTAAACGATCGCTTTCTAAAGAGGAGAAAATTAGGGCTGATAACAGAGCAAATAAATGTGTCTATAAAATCCATTTCAATCCACCGACTTCATTGTTTTAATGATGTTGAATAATTTTCATTCTCACATTGGAATAACTAGACATAGGAAAGCTCTTAGATTAAAATATGCACACTTGGATATAAATAAAGTATACATAGTTTGTACATGATATGGCAAAAGGAAATAAACTACCGGGGGAAGGATCTTTATATATACCCCTGTGTTTTGTTTCTTTTATGACTGCAGTTCATAATTAGCGGTGCTTTAGGGTAAAATATGACTGTCTTTTCACAGAAACTCTCAAAGATGCAAGTTGTCTGTGTGGGACTGCTCCTTTTCAGTGTGATCTGGGCAGCACCAGTAAGCATTTACAAATTCACTTATAAATGAATTGTATGTTTCATAGACTCTCTTGCTGTCTTTATCTATTTTTCTTTTAAGCAATGTCTATTTAAATTAGTGGCATGTACCTAACTCATTACAATAAAGTACCGAGCAAATAGAAAGCCTCTAGGACTTAACATAAATGCCTGTCACCAAGAAGGCCCTCAATAAATATATGCTAAATTACAAGATACCACGTTGCATTTAAAGGAACACTGAAACCAATATTTTTGAGAAAACCAATAGCTGGCCATCGCTTTTCAAATCAGCTGCCACTAATGAGTGATACTCAAAGACAAATTATAGCACGTTAAAAGAACATTTCAATATTTTACTAACAACTTAAAGAAGTTGACAGGAATGTTTTAAAGCTAACTAACCAGATTCTGTCAATGGATGATCATGCAAAAAGATGAGAACTTTTCTGTACTTCCTGCAAGACCCTGACACTGTGGGATCCTGTAATGATTTCTTCTTCATCAGCAAGGCTCAGTGTGGGACGTGGTACCCGGTACCCTAAGCCTCACCCAAATCAAGCTCCTATTTCCTGTGACTCACCCAGATGAGCATTCAGGATGTGACCAAATTATCTCGTGAAAATGCTGAATGTGACAGATATTTCCTGCAATGCAGACACAGCGCTGATTAGATAATGTCTGAACAGCATCCTAACCACTCAGAGTTGCCTTTCCAGTCGGAGAACCGTGGAAACAAGAGCTCACTCCATGGTCGATCGTACTGAAATATAGGTCCTGAGTGAGTGGGTGACCAGTCGGGTAACCAGGCTGGCAAGGGTGACCCAGGCCCTCTGTGAGGACAGCAGAAATCGAGGGAGTGTGTCCCCCTCTCAGCACACACCCCCTCACAGTGCTGTAGGGGACGGCACTGCTTCCAAGGGACATCTGTCAGGCACGATGCACATGACCTCACGACCTCACCAGTCAGAGCCCAGAGGCCTGCACTCAGACACCGAGGTGGGGGACTGAGTCTTGCCAACCCAGCTCAGGCCAACCAGCTAAGGATTTTATTTGGAGCAACACATTCCAAGGAACAGCTGGAGCAGTGCTCTTTGACCATTTTGCGGTAAAGGTGCCATGTCAACATGGATCCGATGACCACTGGTCAAAAGAGGCAGACAATGGCGTCTCCACTACAGGGCCACATTCAAGCGTGGAACAGCTGCCAAGCGGGTGTGGATGGAGAAGGACGGGGTGCAGATTTCAAATGAAAGAGGCTCAGCAAGGACAGGGAGACAGCATTTGGAAGAGTGGAATGGTCAAATGTGACGTTTTAGCAATTATCTAAATTATTTGATAATAGGTTGGTGGTTTAAGAAATTAGTATATACTGAGTCCCTTGAATGCATCTTGGAATTGTAAGCTGAATTCCAAACAATTCAAGAATGGAAGAAAATAAAAGATGTTTATTAGGCCGTGCAATTCAATGAATATTCATCAATATGCAATTAGACTAGAAAGACTTTGTTATAAGTCACAAGAAATCATGGACTATACTAAGGTACCCTATACTGTCAAGGGTGTTTTTAAATCCATAAATGTGTTCTGTAAGAAGATGCCAGATACTCACATTGTCATTTCTTTCTTTTGTTTAATATCTGTCCATCTTATTTTTATGTTTTCTTCCTCCTATCGTCTCATTTTCCAAAACTATTTTCACTGTTATGATATTTTGAAAGATGATGCAGAGGTCTAGATTTATAGTCACAAGATCATATAAGAACCAGCAGAAGAAAGAAATACAATAAAGAATAAAATTATAAAATATGCCTTGAGGATACTTAATATAAACTTCAGGAACATTTCTTTTTATTACCAAATTTTTTTTTCACATTTAATCATTTAAAATTTTTTTTTTTATTTCAGCATATTATGGGGGTACAGATGTTTAGGTTACGTATGTTGCCCTTGCCCCCCTCCCCTCCACATTTAAAATTTTTTATTATTTTAACCCCGGGACTTTGAGATAGAGGATTTAGATTAACATATCTTCTCTGCTTCTACTACCTCTACCAGCTGTGTAAGTGTACGCAATTGTGATTCCTCTGCCTGTCTCATAGGGGTTATTTTGGGACTCAAATGAGATTATGTGTACAAAGCAGTTTCCAAATGGTAAACTGCTATATATTATAAATATAAGGTGTTTTGACAAACTATTGTTTGTTTCTAGAATGGAACAGAACATATCAGGCAGAGATGCCTTGGAGTCCAGCCAAGGGGATACTTTCTAAGCTTTTGAGTTTATATTTCTAAGATGATTTTATCAGTCGGAGTCCAGTCTGGAAAACAAAATCCACGATAGAGAGTTCCATAGAGGGATTTTATCTGGGGAACTAGCCACAGAGTACAGGAAGAATGGAAAGGGCAAATCAAGCGTGATGAGGCCGCCTAAAGATTGGAGCGACTACCACCCCGAGGCCTGGAAGGAAAATAGAGGAGGGCGTGTTCCCAGGCTCCTCCAGGAACCAGGACCGCAAAGGGGACGGATCAGTTCTAGAGCGCAGCCCCACAGAGGGAAAGCAGGGAAGGGCAAGCCTGGGCTTCTCTCTCCGTCTGTCCTCCAGTCTCGGGCCTCCATCCATCAGCCAAACCCAGACGGAAGCAGAAGGGCAAAGGAGCTCAGGAAATGGGATTGGTAGGAATCGGCTCAGCCTGAGCCGGAGAAACACTGGATCTGAGAGCAAGGAGAAAAATCACCAATGTCTTACTGCCAGGAACAGCCTCCTCCATATGAAACAAAATATAGAACTTCAAGGCGTATTCAGGACACACACTCTCTAGGTAAATGAGACAGCCGGCCCAGGTGGCCCTCGTATTGTTTATCTCTTTATTTAATCTTTCCCTTAAGGGCTTCTCTCTCTCATAGGAGTGACCCACCCTGGTGTCTGCTGCCACTTTATTACACAGACACAAACCAGCCCCACACGCTGGCTCCCCTGGCCACAGCTGAGGTGGGCTAGGAGTGTTGAAAAGAAACAGGGCAATAAAAATACTGAGAATAAAAGAGTTATTACATTCATTCCTTTCACAGAAAACTCACTGCAGGAGTCTCAGGTCCCGTCCTGCGCACTTTCCTGCGACATATAAACTTTAGCCCCGAAGCCTGGGACGAGTTGCCAGGGTCTGTTCTTTCTAAGTTTCTGGCCTTTCTCCACTTTAATCATTAACCTTCTTCCCCAGGCACCCTCCAGAAATTTTGACACTTTCATGTCCAACCAAGAAAAAGAATTCGTCCCGATCTGTTGGCCACCTCCATTTTCCCTTGCCTGAACGAGATGTCCGGCCAGATGACTGGCAGCAGGAAGGTTTTATGCCCAGGTGTGGGCCTGCCCCTTACCTGAATGGCTATGGTTCTACCCTTGCTGGGCCACCAACATCCTCATATTTTAATTCAATATAACAATTACCGAACTTATATAATTGATGCACACATAGGGTCCACACCACTGAACTCTGATTTTAATCCACTTATATTTAACAATTTCTAGCTTGCCAGCGAAAACTTCTTTTTCAGTGGATACCAATGACAGCCACTGGCCCTCCCTTCCCCCAGCACACCCACTTGGTGGTTCTCTGAGCTTAAATCTGGCTCTGGAAATGGGAATGGCCTTGTCTCCCTCTGCGGGAAGAAAGTTGGCACAGTCTTTCGTAATACTGAAATAAATATGAGAGTGAGGAATGTGTCCATCTCCTTTTGGTAAGAATAATTTTCCACATTGAATAATACAACCTGGTGAGAGAAAAATAAATGAAACGTTTGTCGTTTGGAGAAATTAATGAAAGAAGGGATGTTCTATTTGGTGAAGTTTTGTTTCTTGTTTCCTTTCAGACATTTCAACCACAGACTGAGAAAACTAAGCAAGGATGTGTGGAAGAACAGAGGGTAAACAGAATTCGTCTTCTCAAATAACTCTATTTTGGTTCTGTAAAAAAAAAAAAAAAGTCAGTAAGAGAACATTTTAGCTGTCAAAATAGTCTGGGGTACTTAAGAATGGAAGTGCAAAATTATGCAACATAATTTTGATACTTTCTGATTAATCGGGTATTATAATTCCCACGACATGTGATAGAACAAAGGAAAGCATCCGAAATAGAGAATAATTTCTCTTCAGTGGTTTCTTCCTTCGGATGAAAACAGTGGTTTGCTAGGCAACGTCCAGAGGGATGAATGAGTAAGAATTCTAGGATATTGTTACTAGCAAACAATATTTTCTCACAAGTACACACGACAACCATTTCGCCCTCAGAGTGATAAAAGGAGAGAAAAAGAAAAGGTGGCTAACAGATCTTAATGGAAAATTCTGTTTACATGGAGTCTGTTTTCCACATGCATCCAGAAACTTAAAAAAATTCTCTCTGGTCTGCATGTCACCAAATCGCAGCTTAAGTCTGCTTGTCACGGTTTCTCCTGGCAGTTCTAGAAAACTCTGTTCTAAGAACTAACCATCTTCCGTTCTCTAGCTCAGCTGAAAATTGCAAAGGCCAAAACTGCACACTTAAGAGCCTGAATATTCATGATGCTGCGAGTTTTGGCAACTGGACATCAGACGCAAATGTCAGAAAACCTGTCTTTCTCCTAATCACTTCACTCTCTCCCACCTGAAAATATTTCCACATGCTCCATTTCCACTGAAATTCGGTAATAAAATTGAGGCACCCTGGGAGGGAAAGCCGTGGACGGTCACTCTTAAGGAAGACAGATTTAGGGATATGTAGAAAAGCGAGAAGGAAAGCACGCCCCCCTGTGGTTATAGGAAGTACTGCCATTTGTCAAAGGCAGAATTCGACTTTGCCCAAGTTAAAAAAATATCTTGTACTATCAAAAAGAGAGCCAGAGAACTTCTTAGTAAGAGATAAACCCACCTTAATATAATGTTGTGTTTTTGTAGATAACGTACAAGGGTCGCCATGAGAAACATGGGTATTATGCTTTTAAGCATGTTTACACATCACCTGGGAAGAGAAATGGAGCTGACACGAAGGTAAGCTGAATCTTTGAGTGACCGTCCTCGCCGTGGACCAGACTCTGGACTCGCCCCAGGAACACCCGTAGGGGAGGTGAAGTTCGCTTTCGCCTGCTCCGGGGCTTCCGTCTGTGGCCACTTTCCCCACACTCCGGTGCTCCTCAAGCCTCTCCGTTGCAGAACCCTGGGTTCCAGAACCTTCCTGATCCCCACCCCATGCCATGGCCCCAGTCCTACTCTGCCTCAGGACCTGCTACTGCGGGTGTGGTCCTAGTGGACCCCAGATGCCCACGGACGGCCATTATTGCTTCTGAATAATGTTTGATCTTTTATGAGGAGGTTTTCTGGACATATTCGACCACAGACTCTAACAGTGGGGATTTCACCAGGCGAAAGCTGATAAACCATTTTGGTCTAAAAAGTGACACATTTTAGTGCCTCTTAAATTTATTCCATGGGTGACTCTTTCTGTGTCAGGATGCTCAGAAGAGAAAGAATGAGGCCTTTGTCGCCAGGATGACAATAATTCTTTTCACTCAGTCCCTTCTTGCAGACTAATTGGCCAAAGGGCTGGAAACAGCTTAAAATGCCATCAGCAAAAGAACTATTTGCTTTTTCCAAATCTGGCTTCATTTCCCATGGAAGCAGTAGTTTCCTTTCAGAATGTACCTTTCTGCCACTCAATGTCCTTTAAATGGCACCTCTAAGACGACATCTAACTGCTTATGTGAATAAGTTAAAACTTATTATTTGACAAATGTATGTTGAGTTCTTTCTATTGTGTAAGATGCTATGTGAGATAACATGATGGGTAAAACTTAATTATTTCTCTGCAGGATCTTAGAAAATGAACAAAAGGCACTTACGAAAATCATTATAAACCAAGACAGAATGTGGAAAGTACCATGTGAGTGGTACAAAAAAAGGAAGGAAGGAAGGACATCTTACTTTAGGAGCTTGGAGTAGAAAGAAATTAGTTCCTGTCCTGGTGTTCAGGGAAAGTTATTTGATGGAAATAACTGAGCTGGGTCTTGGAGGATGAGTAGGATGTGAGCAAACGGAAGTGAGTGGGAGAGGCCATTCTCCCTGTTCTCCATGAAAAGAAATGATAGGAGCCAAGACATGCAGATAGAAAAGCAGAGAACCAGCCACTGCTGCATAGCCCATTGTGAAGTCAATGATGCAACCAGAAATCATCGAACATAAGCGAATCAAAAAACAAAGCTTTTTCTATTTTCAAAATATTTTCTCCAATGTAAAAGTGGTCAGCCATCACATACTGCAGTTTAAAAGTCGTTTTATGTTTCCATATACAAAAGAACTCTGTTTAGTCTTCTAATGAAAGCCTATTCTAGTATATACATGCTTCCCTTTTAAAACCAGTGGAAGCACCAAAAATAAAACAAAACTTCCCACTTCAGAGTAGGGGATGGAAAAAAATTAGGAAGGGATTATTATAATCTACCGATTCTCTAACCCACCTGTTTAATTCAAAAGGTTCTATTAGCAGTGAGTAAATGAACTTCATTGCCAAGGAAAATGTAAATGTCAAAGTAAAAGTTTGCAAAACTCAGTGACTTCAGATAAGTCAAATGTTTAAAATACCCTTTATTTAGAAATATACTACACCACTACAAAGTTTATTTCTATTTTTTTTCCTCATGGAAAAATCTTATTTATTTTCAGAATATACTCACCAATATAAAAAAATTGGTAAATAATGGTATCGTAATGTTTAAAAATAAATCATTTCAAATGATACCTTAAAAATACTACATGTTGGCACATTACAAAGAAAAAAACCTTCTATTGGTGCCCAAATAGAAGAAGGCTTAATAACGACAATAGACTAATTGAAAAAATTACAACTATCCACAGGTGCAAAGATCTGACCTGGAAAGTAATTAGCCCATAAAGTGTTCGAGGAAAGAAGAGGTGACCATAGGTTATGAAAACAGGGAGGGGTTTGTATTGGGGGACCCCTGAGAGTCTGTGATACCCAACTCTTGATCTCCAACTGGATATTGCTTTTTGAGCTCAGGTCCTATATTCCCTTCCCATCAACATGTCTAACATAAAAGCCATTATCTTTTTCATCCTTTCTTCATTTTTACATGTCCAACTTCTAGTCCACTGTTCCTCCTAAACCCCTTATTTTTATTTTGTTAATCTCTTACGAAATTTCACTAGCTCTTCATACTCTACAAGATAAAAGCACATTCTTTAACCCTGGCAGCCCAGGTTCCATAAGCCTCCAACACTCTTTTTGTCTGTTCAGACCCCGGTTGGGTCGGAGGTCTCTGCCTCCCGGCTGTGCCTCAGCCCTCCACAGCCCGGTAGGATTTACTGCCTTTGCGAAGCCAAAAGTCACCCGGGATTGCTTAGAACATGGAACACCCAGCCCCATTTCTTACACGTCCCAGTCCCTCAGTAAATACCTCTCATTGATTTCACATCACTCACCTGTTCAAAGGCCTAGGCGGTGATGTGATAGATTCCAGCCCACCCTACACTTTAAAGGTGAAAAGAAAGTACATCCTTTACTCTGTAATCGTTCTGTTGCTTAAGAGCTCTTACTCGTGGGTTAACAGACGGGCAAGAGAATGTGCATAATTAAATTCAATCTGTTTAAATTTAAGCTGACCTAATAATTTAAATAGTTCATTACATAAATTCTTCAGTGTCTTATAGATAGAAGTACTCAGATCCTCACTGCCCCTCATCCTTGCTCTAAGGTGGCACCCAAGTGTGGCTCGTACCATCCACTACATGTCACACCCCCCGTGTAGAAACGTGGCCCACACCAGAGCAGCGAGGGGGACTTGGAATCCCCAGGCATCATGGGTCAGTGCTGCGTGACCACGCGTGTGCTGCTTGTCCTGCGGCCTCCTAAGTTAGACTCCTCTTCGTTTGAGAACGACTCACTTTGTTCTTGGTGCATGTAGACACATTTCTCCTTTAAGAGCTACCTCGCTGCCTTTATGGTGACATCCTCTAGAAAGTTCCAGACTAGACTCTCAAAGACTCCTGTATCTAGCTCTGCCGCAGCGGAATAGTGGGTGGCAGAGGGCAAAGTCAGGCTCAGCTCCTCTCTCTTCCTGACCACATTGTTCTGCCGACAACCCTCTATTGAGTTCGTAGACCCTTTTTATTAGACATCTGGTGGTTGGGGGTTTTTTTTATATTGCCTAAGAATTGTTGGATTTTTAAAATTTGACATAAAATAATCACTTTATCTTGAAAATTGTACTTTAGCAGGAAGAAAAAGACAATGTTGCTCTTCGCCATTTGGACGAGAGAAGACATCAAGAACCAGCACCTAAAGAAAATGTTGTCCAGGAAAGAGAGAAAAATGTGTCCCTTTCTGAAGCCAGTGAAAATAACCAAAGTAGTAAATCCCCAAATCCTTTCGCAAATAGACAGACACCGAATGAAGACTATAGTATCAGTAACAAGGAGAATGTCCACAATGACCTAAAGATGTCCGTGTATGCGGAATCACCTGGGAACACAGGGGCTGATGACGGAGACGACGCCATCAGCAAACTGCATGACCAAGAGGAATACAGCGCAGCTCTCATCAGAAAAAATCTGCAGCATATAATGGGGCCAGTGACTGCCATTAAACTCTTGGGGGAAGAAAACAAAAAGAACAAACCTAGGAATGTTCTCAACAAGATTCCAGCCGGTGCGAACTACGCTAAAGCCCGCTCAAAAGACAGAAAGAATCCTCAAAGAGATTCCCAAGCCCAGAAAAGTCCAACAAAAATCAAAGGCAGTCATTATACCCAAGACACCGCCAACTACCTAAAACATCTCTCGAAAGTCAAAAAAATCCCCAGCGATTTTGAAGGTAGTGGTTATGAAGATCTTCAAGAGAGAGGGGACAATGATGTCTCTTCTTTCAGTGGGGACGGCCAACCTTTCGAGGACATTCCCGGTAAAGGAGGAGCTGTGGGTCCTGACCTGGAAGGGATGGATATCCAGACAGGGGTTTCAGGCCCAGCTGAAGCTGAGACCGTCACTCCCGACACAAGAGGGCCAGGTTATAATGAGATCCCAGAGAGGGAAGAAAATGGTGACTACGCCTTTGGAACCAGGGGTGAAACAGCCAAAGAGCCGGATGCTGTCGATATCAGCCTTGTGGAGGGCAGCAACGACATCACGGGTAGCACCAACTTTCAGGAACTCCCTGGACGAGAAGGAAACAGAGTGGATGCTGGCAGCCAAAATGCTCAGCAAGGGAAAGTAGAGCTTCACTACCCTCACCCGCCCTCCAAAGAGAAAAGAAAAGAAGGCAGCGGCCATGCAGCTGGAAGTACCAATTATAATGAAATCCCTAAAAACGGCAAAGGTAGCACTAGGAAGGGCACAGAACATTCTAATAGGAACCAAGGAACTGTTAATGAAGAACAAAGATATTCTAGTAAGGGCAAAAGTCGGGGCCCGCTCCTTCCTTCTCGTGGTCTTGATAATGAATTTCAAAATGAAATAGGTTCCCATTATGGCCCCAATAATGAAAGGGATACAACACACAGCAGAAAATATCATTACGTACCCCATGGACAAAATAATTCTGTGCGAAATAACGGTATACCACAAAGAAAAGGCTCCAGGGGTCACAGAGGACCCCATTCCCACAGGAGGTTCAGTTCCCCTAGAAGGGAGGACAGTAGTGAGTCATCTGACAGCGGCAGTTCCAGTGAGAGCGATGGCGACTAGTCCACCAGGAATTCGCAGCAGGGTCGCGGTTTGAAGAGCTGGCTGTCTGTGCGTCGCCACAGAGGAGAGCCACCTGACAGCAGACACAATAAAGAGAGGACAGAGCAGGGGTTTGGGGGGGTGGGGGTGGGTGGGAGTTGAGTGAGCCAGGAAGCCTGGTCGGCTCAGGGGAATTTTTGCTGTTTTAATGGTCATAGCATGAAATTGTATTCAAAGTTATAATGCTTTTTTTTAAGTAAACAAACAAAAAAAACTCCTTAAGGATTGATGAAGTAGGTAACATTTGAATAGGTGTCATTTTAAAGTAGTCTGTGAATGTCACAAATGCCTTGCGGTGTTGTTTGCTCTGTAGACATGGAAATAAACAATCTCTCTCTCTCTCTCTCTCTGTTAATTTGTAATTAAATGATCTATAGGAAACTCTGTCGTCTGGTGCTTCATTTCAGAGGCGACAAGGCTAGCTTTGCCTCTGGCAAAGACAGCGCCTATGGAATTAATCCCCCGAGAAAGCTGGAAACAGCTTGGCCTTTTTCCTCTGACCCCTCTCTGCTCTTATAAAAATATCCTACTTCATATCCTCCTACGCGCTTTCCTCTGTTGCACATTTATAACTTCTTATAAGGCAAATATTATTTCCTGAAACAAATCTCCATATTATTATTTTTCTCAATTCTAGCTCCTTCCAGACAAAGAGGATAATAAGGGTGGCGGGAGGGCAACAGGGAGAATTTGAGGAGAAACAAAAATGCAAAACCAAGACAGAAACTGAGTTTGGCGGGGATGGTTCATTGGCTGATTCCAACTCATTTCTAGCCTATTTGCTTTTCTCATGTTTTAGTATAAATGTTTTTTCAGCTAATGATGGCCTTGTGACACTGGTCTGGAAATTAGACCTAAGTCTTCTGATAAGGGAGGGGGGTAGAGTTCGGGAAGGGCTTTTGTTCCTCCTGATGAAAAGAACTTACACAGCTTACTCTCTCTGTGGCTGTACGTGGACGTGATGGCAGGAGGTGCAGCAGCCATCTTGTGTCCATGAAGCAAAGGACAAAATAATCATAGAGGTGTGCCTGAGCCAGCTGCTGCCTCCAGTGTCCTTGTTCTGTGAGAAAAATAATTCTCTATTTGTGGAGCCACTGTTTGGGTTTTTTTTTTTTTTGGTAATTGGTAACTGAATTGAATTTTCAATTGATAACACCTCTCCATTCCCGACATTCTTCTAAATGAGGAGGGCCGAGAGAAGAAGAAAGGGAGAAATAGACAATAGAGAAAGAAAAGTGCACATGATTTCTCTTGTCTTGTTAAGATCTAAATTTCCAAACAGCAGAAATCATGCCTGGCACATTCTATACAGCACTTAGATTATTGAGTTGAATAATGTATGTAGCAAAAGTGAATACAAGTCAATATCAGTACAACATGGCACCTTCAAAAATATAAACTCTCACGTTGGGGTAGATAGAAGGTATTTTTTAACCAAATAAAAGTGGCCATATAAACTATGGAATCAATCAGTTTCTCCACGTATTCACATAAATAATAATCACTAACATGATTTGCATGGTTATCAGATGCCATGATCTGTTAAATCCTTTAATCTGTTCAGCCACTCTATAACATGGGTGCCATGACAATCTCCATTCTACAGACGAGGAAACTGAGACATGAAACTGTAAGTAAATGTCCCAGCTGATAAGGTAGGATTTACCCCTGGGGAGTCTGGCTCTTTGCTCTTAAACACTATATTGCCAAATATTACAAAGATAGGTGTACATGGCACATAATACACATCATATATGATGTGTACAAACATGAAGTATGTGTACATTCATGCACTATATGCATATGTGTGCATATATGTGTGTACACAGAGAGAGAGACAGAGAGAGAAACTTGAAAGAAACGCCGAGTAGAACCCTCATCTGCTCTGCATCTTCCGTATACAACAGAGATCAGCATCAATGGGAAGACTTAACCTGTCACCTAATGTCACCATCAGAATTTCCAGAATAAATTATTCCTAGTACTTTGCTTTCTTTTTTTTTTTTTTTATAAAAGACAATTTGGGAAAAAAAAATACCAAAACAAAATTGGAGGCAATTAACGAAGTGAAAAAAATTATATCAGAACTGCAGAATAACGAACTGAAATCAACCCGCTATTTACATTCCAGGTGATATCAGACTTTTACGTGTGAATAGTCTGATCGCATGAAAAACGCTCCTTGTAGTGAAGGGAAAACATGAACCGGCAGAGAAAATGAATGCTTTCTTTGGGTAAATGCAGGCGGTGGCTTCCAAAGTTCATCTGTCCTCGTCTGCTATCTAGTGGAGAAACTGTACATTTCATTTCTCTGGTCAGATCTTGTTTCCTCTCTCCAAACTTGAGCGTTCGTGGGTATTTTCTCCCAACACTGGCGATGTTTATATTTTCTCCCTCCATTTAAGGGAAACTAGAAACTATTTCAACATCCGCGATGCACAGCTATTGGGTGCAGACGTGGAGGAATTAGTCCGAACATGGGAGGACCAGGGGTCCACGGGACGCCCTGCAGCCGGGAGTGGGGCTTGTGTTTTATCCGAACCCATGTTTCAGCCACAGAGCTGCACTAGCTTCATTTTTTTAAACAGATTTCCAAAACAGGGCAGAAAATTTCAGCCTGTGTAGCTGCCTTATAAAGGATGATGGAAAACAACCTAATCTGCATTTTTTTTTTTTTTTTTTATGTCCAAAAAGAAAACGTTGCTGTGCCAGTCCTGGGACCAGGTTCCAGCTCTGTCACTCATTTGCAACCTGGCTACTCCCTCTAACCTCACCTTCCCAGATTTCTCTGCTTGTAAATATCCACCTTGATTTTGCAACCCTAATCGATCTGTTCTTGGCAACTCCAGCCAGTCAGGGCAAGAGATCTGACCCTGGTCGGCATAACGTGTAGCTCGGTCGAAAAACATTTACTAAATGATCATATTTTACAAAATTCTGGGGGGATCAAAAGAAGAGAAGAGATGCTCCTGGCCCTCATCAAGACTGTGATTCAGTCAAGGAGAAAGGCAGACAAAAGATACAAGATAGAATGTGGTTAAGTTCAATAATGGAAATATAAATAAAGGGAGACAGGAGTTTTGAGAAGGAGATGATGTCTAGCTGGAGAAAGGAGTGAGGATATAGTAAAATCCATTTTCCATTTTAAGGTACTACACATTTAGAGAAGCTGCAGACAGTCTCGACAGATAAATGAGAGCTTCACAGTCGATGATCTTAAATGAGACTCTATGTAGTTTGGAGCTTAAGCTAGATCTCCCCACCCCGAGGACTGGGAAATGGTGGTGGGTGAGGTGGGGGTCTGGGGAAGGTGGGAGGAGGACAGCTAGTCGTCGGAGGTCACACAACAGATCGTCGCTGTGGTCTGCAAGAAACATCGTGTCCCCTCCTCGCTCTGTCTTTAGGACCTGTTTTGACTAAGCTAGAGCTCAGGACACCACGGTACTTTCACAGAAGCCCACCTTCCAGAAACAACTCCTAGTAAGGCAAACTCTGCTAGTAAAGACATCGATACTTACGGTCACAGGTGTTAAAATATAGTAGTAGATGGTCCAAAGGAAAAGGAGAAGAAATAAAGGAGTCTGGATGAACGTCATGGAAAAAGGAATTGGGGACAGAGAGAGAGGGGGGCGTGGAATAGAGATTGGAAAAACCTTAATGAGGAAGTCTGGAAAGAAAGGAGAATAAAACCCCCCCAGTACAATCGCAAGGCCAGAAACCCAGATGAGAAAAAAGTAAAAACGATGAGTAGACTCACACAATAGTTGCAAGAACATCTACGTGAAGATACATGGTTTAGACTTAGACAATAAGGACAGGAAGAGCCGCGAGTCAACTCTGTTTCTCAAATGAACAATACGGCATAAATGGATGGGGACAGTCCAGTATAGCATATATGCTCCCATTTAGAGGTGTGGCCATTGCTGTATTTGAATTTTAGGTAGACGGTTCCCATTGTTCGGTTAACGGATTAGTAACAGAAGTTAAACAGTTTTAATTTAAACGATTTTTACTTAAAACAATGAGATAGAGAGCCTCCGGAAGATACCCAGGTGCATTATATGAAGAAGTAAGCTGTATGTTTAGCAAAGAGGTGATTCTGCCGCGGGTGGTCTGGGGCAGATCTTAGAAACGCTGCATTTGTCAATGGATGGCGTGATATTTGTGATAAAAAGCCATGCACGGGGTCTGGGGATCTTCATTTATAACATATCCCTCAAGGGATTTTAACACGAGCCAAAGTTTGAAGTCGCCAGCATGGGCATCTTTCCCGGTGACCTTCAAATCAGTCCCCTGGGTCTCCTGTTGGGTCTGTGGCCAGCCCAGACCCTCCCCTGCACTAGTCTGGCATTGTGGGGACGTTTCAGTCTATGATGAAGACACAGTTTGTCCTTGTGGATTATCTCATATCAACAAATAATGAACGCGTGATTTCAAGTGAATTTACAAGACACCGTACGAAAACGGACCTTTAGACAGGTTCTTGCAAAACAGAAATGGGTCACAGTGCGCATATGTGGCTTCCCTAATTTGCTGCTCTGTAGGAAATAATCTGGAGGTCGTAGAGCCCCGGAGTGCCACAGGTCACTCGAACAGGATGTGACTGCAAAACCGTTCAACGTTAGTCTCTCTGTAAAAGACTGGACAGAAAGTGTGACAAGAATACAAAGAAGGAACTAAAGGAGCAAAAGTTGGAAGTACAAATGAGCAAAAGTCACGACGTGCTGATTTGAGTTTGAGTTTGCACGGTGCACAGAAGTTCAAGTTCTAGGAGAAAATTCCCTATTAATAGAATGTTTAGTTAGCAGAATTTTTAAGCAGTGATCTATGAATCTACAACGTTCGTCTACAAAATCCGCCTTTGTCCTCGTTCGGTGGAGGAACTCTGCCTTCCACAGAGATCCAGATACACAGAAGGAACAAGCCCCCTCCCGGGAAGGGCCCCCTCAGTTGTGCCACAG